CAGCTGGCTGCCTGGACAGTCACCCAAGGGTCTTCTATAACATTGGGGCATCCATCTTTGGACTGTAGGCCTAGAATATCTGACAGACATTTATTTCTATGAAGCAGGAATTTTGAAGGACTGTACTACCTTGTCTTGGCAAAGTACAGAGGTTGCTTTCTTTTGTGTCCTGCTTGTCCAGTTTGGACAGCATAACTGTCAGCAGTTGAGGCAAGGGAATTTTCTTGCCTAGTAGCTAACTATGCCACAATAAAAGCAAGCTCCATATTAAGGTTCTTCAATGCCCATCATCTCATCTGTAGTAGATTGGTTGGCCAGGAACAGATGTGTCTCATCATCATAAAAAGCCTTATGTTATTAAAACATCTTAAATGCCATATTCTGTAGATCTCTAAAGTGTTTGAAGACTACCTGTCCATCTAAAATATATCTCTGACCTTGAAAAAATACCTAACATGACTACAAGTTTGATTGTAATAGGTGACTAACTACTAACCTGCATTTCTTTATTAGCCTACATAGTTTGAAATAATAACTTTCAAGTCCTAGAAATTTATATTACATTGTTAAATGAGTTGCATAGGTACAATACCTTAAACAAGAGTAGAAATGTATGTAGAGTATGTTCTAACAAAAAATAACCTTAAATTTGTATCAATATACAAAAATCCATGCCAGTGTAAAATATTTAAGACTAGTAGTTGCTTTTTTAGTATAAAAGTAGATTCAGTAATCTACCCTTTTACCCTATATTTATATATCCCCCCTTTTTCTTTTCAGAATGAGATCTCTGAATCTAATCTCCTTTGTTCAGATTTTTTTTCCTGATCATTACCAATAACAACTTGCAAACAACCCCCTTAATGACAGATATCTATAACCCACTGAATGACCAAAAACCACCCACCCCACCTCTTGGGAATGTGTGCGCTGTGTTCTCTAGATTGCTTTCTGACAATGACATCTCTAGGGGACCCTGAGAAAATTGAAATAGTGGTCAAGTCCTGGGAGATGTGTGATGGAGTAATGCATGAGGCTGGACCATCTCAGCGAGTTACTTTGAAATTGTTCTGAGCAGTTTGCAGTCCAAAGCTGATCTTGGGGTGGTGTTTGTCAGCTTTAGTGGCATTGCCACAATCCAGGTGGAATCATTGTTTTAGAGCCCCATTATCCTTTTGGAGACTTCTAAGGTTGATGTTGGTGTAAGCCCCTCAAGCCACACAAGTGGCCAGGCCCCTCCCTCCAGGATCTCTAACTGCCAGGTTCCACTCAAAGAGTACTCTAACTGCCCTAACTGCTGGACCCTGCCCCAACCCTACAAAGCAAAAAGCCCAGTCTCTGGACATGAAATCCTACCAATCTCCACCTTGGAAAACTCCAACCTGAAAAGTCCCACCCCCTTCCCGAGAAGCTCTGTATAAGCCCTGTATCCTGTTCAGTTTGCTGCTGTTTCTCGATAGAGCAGAAGCAGCCATCCTCCTGGTTTTTTTCCTCCCAATAAATTTCTTGTGTGAAGTTTGTTGTGTGGTATGACTTTGTGGTATTCCTTGGCTTCCGGCTGCCAGGATACCTTTCCATCTGAGCTATAATGCTTACAGCGTTCATAGACATGGCTGCTATCTCAAGATACTATCATCTGGGGCTCAGTGGCGAATAATCTGGTCTTGCTGAAAGACAAGATTGAAATCTCCAAACAGCACAGTAATTAGCTGCCGAAGTTTATAGGGTGTGTTTTGGAATATTCCTTTACACTGTGTGAAACTGTGATTGGCTTAATAAAGGGCTGAATGACCATTAGCTAGGCAGGAAGAGGTTAGGTGGGACTTTTTTTTTGTTTGTTTGCTTTTTGTTTTTCCGAGACAGGATTTCTCTGTGTAGTTTTGGTGCCTGTCCCGGAACTCGCTCTGTAGACCAGGCTGGCCTCGAACTCACAGAGATCCACCTGCCTCTGCCTCTCTAGTGCTGGGATTAAAGGTGTGCGCCACCACCGCCCGACTAGGCGGACATCTGGGCACAGAAGGATCTGAGAAGAAGAGAGAGTACCCAGCCAGATGCTGAGGAAGCAGGATGGGCAGTACAGAGTAAAGGTAACCGAGTCATGTAAAAGAACATAGATGAAAACATATGGGTTAATTTAAGTTATAAGAGCTAATGGGACAAGCCTAAGCTAAGGCCAAGCTTTCGTAATTAATAATAAGTCTCTGTCGTCATTTTGTGTGTGTGTGTGTGTGTGTGTGTGTGTGTGTGTGTGTGTGTGTGTGTGTGTGTGAGCTGGCGGCCCAAAGAAAAATCCATCTACAAAGGTAGAACAATATTAACTCTGGACAGGTGACACCATGCTGACATGCCAGTGTGCAGCCTATTTTGTGTAGCAAGTTTTTCTCTGTACCACCAGTTCCCAAATAATGTCATGGAGACGTCTTACTAATTACAAAAGCTCAGCCTTAGCTTAGGCTTGTCCCATTAGTTCTTATAACTTATACTAACCTATTTCTATTAATCTATGTTTTGCCTCATGGCTTTTTAACCTTTCTTTTATCTTGCACCTCTTATTTCCTCTCTGTCTGGTTGTCGATTCTGTTTTTCTTCCTCCCCAAGACCTCTCTGTCCCCAGAAGTCCCGCCTACCCTCTTCCTGGTTAGTTATGGCCATTCAGCTCTTTATTAAACCAATCACAGTGACACATCTTCACACAGTGTAAAGAAATATTCCGTAACAATTTTTTGTGTGTGTTGTGGGGAGCACTTGTTTTGTTTTTATTTGTGTTTTGAGACAGGGCCTCTCTATGTAGCCCTGGCTGTCCTAGAATTTTCTATATAGATCAGGCTGGCCTTGAACTCACAGAGATCTGCTTTTCTCTGCCTTCTGAGTGCTCAGATTAAAGGTGTGCACCACCACGCCTGGCTCTTTGGGAGAGTTTTAAGACAGAACCAAACCCTTCTTGTTAATGGGAGACGGTGATTCTGAAAAGGCACAGTCAGGTTTAAGGCTGTGTTTTCTTGGCACTCCGTGATGGACTTGATGTAGTCTGTCACAGTGACAGGTGAATCTGGCTCTAACTGCAGAGAAAGCTAGTGTAAAAGTCTTTAAAAGGCCTGAGGTGGAGGTTTGTAGCCCAAGGACTCTATTTGGTGTTTTAAATGTGAAACTGGAAGCCTGGTGGTGGCTCACATCTTTAATCCCAGCACTCGGGAGCCAGAGCCAGGTGGATCTCTGAGTTCGAGGCCAGCCTGGTCTACAAAGTGAGATCCAGGACTGGCAGGACTGTTACACAGAGAAACCCTTTCTTGAAAAACAAAAAGTGAAATTAGGGGTGGGCAATGCTGTTGAGTCTTAAGAGGAGTTTTAAGGGAGATTTTTTTTTTTTTTTTTTTTTTTTTTTTTTTTTTGTTTTTCGAGACAGGGTTTCTCTGTGTAGCTTTGCGCCTCTCCTGGAACTCACTTGGTAGCCCAGACTGGCCTCGAACTCACAGAGATCCACCTGGCTCTGCCTCCCGAGTGCTGGGATTAAAGGCGTGCGCCACCACCGCCCGGCGAGATTTTTTTTTTAATGCTTGTGTGTACATCCACATGGATGTATGTGTTCATATTTGTGTGGATGTGTGAGGGGTACATATAAAAAGCCTTAGGTGTTATCTCAGGAAACAGGGTATTTTATTGGCCTGGACCCTATTAATGAGGCCTGTCTTGTCTTTGAGCTCCAGGGATCCACCTGTGTCTGCCACTTCAGTGCTGAAATTATAAACATGCTCAGCATTGTATTATGTCTTTTTTTCAAGACAGGCTGTCTCTATGTAACAGTCCTGGCTGTCCTGGAACTAGCTCTGTAGATCAAGCTGAACCCAAACTCAGAGATCCACCTGCCTCTACCTCCTGAGTGCTGAGATTAAGGGCGTGCACCAACACTTCCTGACTTAATTTTTTTTCTTTCTTTCCTGTGGGAGGCCAGCTTCCACCTTTCCAAGGGTTCTTATAAGGAGGAGAGATGGAAAGAATATATTAGAAAGATAACAAAGAGGAGAAAGACAGAAACACAGAATAGCTTCTGGAGAACCTGGGTCAATACTCAATGGCCTTTTCTTTTTATAACAATGTCAAAGCAAAAGACCTCCCCCTTGCTAGATCAAAGCACACTGTACAGCCAAGTGTAGACCCTTCCAAACACCTGGTAACCACGCCCGTGGTCAAATCATCCCCTTATGCAGCCCTGCTGGGTAAAGTAAGCTCAGGCTCTCGACCCTTAGTAAGTTCTCATTAGGAAACCTCTGTGGGTCTCTACACTTTTTTTTCAGGGGGGTGGGGGAGGGTTCAGCATTGTAGTTTCTAATTTTTTTAAGACGTATTTGTTTTATTATTTACCTTAATGTTTAGACTTATTTGTTTTGATTTTATGTATCTGGGTGTTTTGCCTGCATGTCCATCTGTGTACCACTTTGTGCCTGGTTCCCTTGGGGGCAAGAGGAGGGCCTCCTATCCCTAGAACTGGAGTTACAGATGGCTGTGAGTGAACATGTAGTTGTTAGGAATCTAACCCATGCTCTTGACTATGGAGCCATTGCTCCAGCCCCTATTTTTATTTTTCAAGGTAGCTGGAGAGATAGCTGTGGGGACTTGGGAACCAGACTCTGGTCTTTTTGGTGTGAGCCTAGCCTTTAGCTGAAGATGGACTTTCCTTTGGGCCTCCAGCTCACAAAAAAAGACAACAGATACTTATTATTAATCATGAAAGCTCAGCCTTAGCTTGGGCTTGTTTCTAACTAGCTCTTATAACTTAAATGAACCCATTTCTATTAATTTATGTGTTGCTACCTCTCCTCCTACATTTCTGTTCCCTCTATGTCCACTGGCAATTCTGCCTTTCTTCTTCCGAAAGCTCTCTCTGTACAGAAGTTCCTGCTATACCTCCTGCCTAGCTATTGGCCATTTAGCTTTTTATTAAACCAATCATTGATACATCTTCACACATTGTAAAGGAATAATCTACAACATTTAGCAAGTGAGCCATCTCTGCAGACTTTATTCATTTATTTTTACAGCAGGTGGGAGGGGGTTCTAGAAAGTTTCTTTGTGTAGCCTTGCCTGTCCTGGAATTCACTATGTAGACCAGGCTGGTCTCAGACTCACAGAGATCTGCCTGCCTCTGGCTCCCAAGTGCTGGGATTAAAGGCATGGGCCACTACTGCCTGGCCTGATTTATTTTTATATTTTATGTTTATGGGTGGTTTTGTTGTTGTTGTTTGTTTTGAGACAGGGTTTCTTTACACAGCCCTAGCTGTCCTGGATCTCATTATGTTGATCAGACTTGAACTCATGAACTCACAGAAATCTCCCCACCTCTGCCCCCTGGGTGCTGAGATTGAAGGCGTATACCACCACACCCAGCTTAGATTTCTGTTTATTTTACTGGCGTGGGTGTTGTGCTTGACTGTGTGTCTGTTCACCATGTGTGCATCGCCAGGAAGGCCTGAAGAGGGTGATGGAGCCCCTGGAACTGGAGTTACAGAAGGCGCTTGACTGCCCTGTTAGTGCTGAGACTTGAACTCTTGTCCTCCACAAGAACAAGATCTCTAGGCTGCTGAGCCATTTCTCCAGCCCCATTTTATTTTATTTATTTATTTTCAGAATTTGCTGAAACCTTTATTACATTTACTGAGAATATCACAAAGTAACTCTCCAAATTACAAAACATTGTTCATTAAAAGGGTTTTGGTCATCTATATATTAAACTTCACATTATTTAAAAATCACTTACATTGGGCCAGGCATGGTGGCACAGGACTTTAATCTCAGCATTTCAGAGGCAGAGGCAGGCAGATCTCTGAGTTTGAGGCCAGCCTCATGTTCCAGGACAGACAGGGCTATGTAGAGAGAACCTATCTCAAATAACCAAAAATAAAATAAAGTAAACTAATAATAATACAAATCAATTATAAATTATGCTCTTTTAAGCACTGGCTGCTCTTCCAGAGGTCCTGAGTTCAATTCCCAGCAACCACTTGGTGGCTCACAGCCATCTGTAATGAGATCTGGTGCCCTCTTCTGGCATGCAGTCATACATGCTGTATACATAATAAATACATCTTAAAAAAATAAATAAATTATGCTCTTTTAAAAGAAACAGATTTTCTCAAAACTAGGAAAATACCATATGCTGGTCAAATCCAGCGTGAGCCTTATACGACCACGTATAGTTGTACAACTATGGAGTAAGCTGGCACTGCTTTATTTTAAAAACAGTGGGAGGAAGGAATCACACCATACTACAGGGCTCACATGGGAGGTTTATTGAGGGGAGGGGAGAGAAGGGGAGCAGAGCTCGGTCCCTCGGACAAAGAGATGGGAGGTGGGCAAGGCCCGCCTTTTATAAGAAAACCTAGCAAAGGCACACAGGGGGTGCTCTTAGTGGCTGCAGCTGAGGTATATCCTGTCAGGACCCAAAGGGCAGGCCAGTACAGATGCCTGAATGTTAACAGCCACCCTCTAAGAGAGAGCATGAGCTCATGTGGAACATAGTACACTTGCTGACTAAGAGAATTTGAAGTTTCAAAATACATAAAATAATTGTTTTCACCCAGATAAGCATTAAGATAAGATGGGCTGGAGAAGCTGGGTGGTGGTGGCACACAACTTTAATCCCAGCACTTGGGAGGCAGAGGCAGGAGGATCTCTGTGAGTTCAAGGCCAGCCTGGGCTACCGAACAAGTTCCAGGACAGTCAGGGCTACACAGAGAAACTCTGGAAAAAAACAAAACAGAAAAGAAGGGTTGGAAAAATGGCTCAGTAGTTAGGGACACTGGCTGCTGTTCCAGAGGACCAGGGTTCAATTCCCAGCACCCCCACGGCAGCTCCTGACTACCTGTAACTGTAGTCCTAGGGTATCCAATGTCGTCTTCTGGCCTCCTCTGGATCTAAGAACCCACATGACTCACAGACATACATGCAGGCAAAATATCCATTCATATTAAATGAACAAATAATTTAAAAAGCAAAAACGATTTGATTGCCATATTTAAGCACTAACCAGAAGCTGTTGTTGAAGGATTTTGTAATTTAATCAATTAGCCCCCAGCCTTCCTTCCATATATAACTCATAACAGTGAAAGTTTTTCTTAATTAACTGTGAATCCAGCATACTCAGCTGGGAATGCATACTCTTTCTAATTAAAGATGATAGAGTTATTTTCTCTTTCTCCTTGGGTTTTTTTTTCCTTTGAGACAGGGTTTCTTTGTGTAGCTCTGGCTGTCCTGGAACTCACTCTGCAGATGAGGCTGGTCTCGAACTCACAGAGATCCGCCTGCCTCTGCCTCCCGATCTGATCTGGGATTAAAGGTGTGAGCCACCACCGCCCAGCTTGAACAATGATAGTTTTAATGAGAATTACTTAAAAAAAAGTAATAACCCAAAAAACCGAGCAAGAATAAGTAACGCATTCTTGTGACAGAGCCTCACTGTGCCCCCGTGCCTGGCCTGGAACTCCTTGTGCAGCCCCAATCGGTCTGGAACTCACAGAGATCCTATTGCCTCTGCCTGTAGAGTGCTGAGATTAAAAATTCATACCACCACATCTGGTTTGGGTGGGGCTTTTAATTTTTTCTTAGGTTCCCAAATCAATTTTGAGACCTTGGGTAATAACAACTTTGTTCTGAGGCTAGAATAATTCAGTTCAGCATAGCTACTGTCCTGGAACAGTGTACACATGGACACTAATTCCATGACCTTGCTGGGAATATAGCTAGATAGCTCAGGTGTAGAATGCATGCCTACCATTTCCAGGGCTCTCGATGCAATTCCAGCACCTCCAAAAGTTATCATACTAGTAAAAATGAGGTTTATGCTGTGTAGCAATTTGGTTTTTTTTTTTTTTTTTTTTTTTTTTTTTAGGTTTTTCGAGACAGGGTTTCTCTGTGTAGCTTTGCGCCTTTCCTGGAACTCACTCTGTAGCCCAGGCTGGCCTCGAACTCGCAGAGATCCGCCTGCCTCTGCCTCCCGAGTGCTGGGATTAAAGGCGTGAGCCACCACCGCCCGGCTGGTTTTTTTTTTTTTTTAAGATGTATTTATTTATTTATTTTGTGTAGAGTACTCTGTCTGCATGTATACCTGCAGGCCAGAAGAGGGCACCAGAAGGTTGTGAGCTACCACGTGGGTGCATGTAGGTGCTGGGAATTGAACTCAGGACCTCTGGAAGAACAGCCAAAGCTCTTAATCGCCGAGCCATCTCTCCAGCTCACTTTGTAACAAACTTTTCTACATCTATATAATTTCAAAGATAAATGGGGTGGGGGGGGACAAAAAATAAATTCAGGGACTGGCGAGATGGTTCATCAGGGAAAGGAGCTTGCCGCCAAGCTTCACAACCTGCGCTTGAGCCCTGGAACCCACATTCCAGGGAGGAATGGGACAGTACAGAGACAACCCCTGAAAGTTGTCCTCCGACCTCCACATGGATGCCATGGCATGCAAACATGCATACAAAAAAATTTAAAAGCTTAGAAAATTGGAAATAGTAAATACGTTTTGAAGCTGGCTATGCATGCGTCCTCAGAAGGTTGAAGGAGGAGGATTACCACAATTCAAAGCCACGGTGGACTGTGTGGAAAGTAGCAGACTGGTCAAGGTCTGATCAAACATCCAAACAGCCCGTATAGTGGTGCCTCCACTCAGGAGGCAGAGGCAGGAAGATCTCTGTGAGTTTCAAGCCCACTGGGTCTATATAGGGAGTTCTAGGCCAGCAAGAGCTACACAGTGAGACCTTGTCTCAAACAAACACAAACTGAAAGTATACATATTACTTTGAGAAATAGTCATACACTTGATCTTAGTCAAAAGGCTAAGAAGTGATGAAAATAGGCATATATATATATATATATATACATACATATATATACATATATATATGGAATTAAAGAGGATCATGAAAACAAAATACAATGTTTTTAATTTGCCTTTAATGTTATTACAGTGGATAAACAATTACACAAACCTGGGGGGAGTCATTGGTATAAACTGCTAATAACTAACAAAAACACTAACTTGAAGTCGGGCAGTGGTGGCGCACACCTTTAATCCCAGCGCATGGGAGGCAGAGCCAGGTGGATCTCTGTGAGTTTGAGGCCAGCCTGGGCTACAGATCGAGATCCAGGACAGGCACCAAAACTACACAGAGAAACCCTGTCTCAAAGGAAAAAACAAAAAACAAACAAACAAAAAAAAACCCCCACTAACTTGTGTAGACTGCAGCTTGGGCCCTCTGTCTCCTCCAGTTCATGGTGATCCTTAATCCTCAGTTTCCCCAGACACAGTTGGACTCTGAGCAGGCTCATCCTTAGTAACAAAAGAAAGGTAGGGAGGAGAAGGGCATAGCTCCAACTTCAACTCCTGCCCCCCAGAAGCTTATTCTCAGAATCTATGTGGAAGCCACACACCGCTGCAGAGGACTTGTGAGAATGTATAGCTTGTGTTGGCACACCCCACCCAATAGGCTGAACCTGGCCTGCCCCTTGCCATTGAAGACCTATGAGCTATGGACAGTTTACATTATTAAATTTATTTTTATTTTATGTGTATGAGTGTTTTGCCTGCATGTATATATATGCATGTGTGTGAGTGCCTACTGCTGGCAGAGGTCAGGAGGAGACATTGGATCCCGTGGAAACGGAGTTATAGATCGTTGTGAGCTGCCATGTGAATGCTGGGAATAAAACTCTGGTCCTCTGGAAAAGTAGCCAGTGCTCTTAACTACTGAACCATCTTTCTCCCTCACCGCCCCCATACTTTTGTTAGTTTTTGCTTTTGTTTTATTTTATTTTAGAGACAGGGTCAGTGCTGCAGATTAGAATTGTAGACCACCATGCAGGGCCTTAAACAGCTCGATTTTAACTGGCTATATATAAGTACCTATGTAATGTCTGCAATTTTACCCCCTCCAGCCCATAAAGCTTAAATCATTTACATCTGACCCCCAAGGAATAATTGCTACTACTCCTAGAGCCCAGAGAACATAGTGACCGGTTATTTTGGGACTAAACAAGCTCTCAGTCCGAGGCCAATGGCCTGGGCTTCTGCTCTGACTTGGCCGTGCAGCTGGTGCCAGGTGGCAGCAGGCCCCACACTCCTGGGAGTGGGTTGGGCTCTCCAGATGTGGCTGGAATGCACCAGACTTGTTTCCAGTCGGTAGGACTCCTATCAGAGAGCTTCTGAAGCTTGGGCGGTACCTTGCCGCGGGGGGCAACCCCACTGCTCACGAAGGCAGAAATGCCAAACCAGGGCGGCACAGCTCAGCAGAGCCAAAGCCGTGCCCACTCCCATAGCTGCATGGACCAGGATGACAGGTCTAGGCGGCATGATAAGCTTTCGACAAGGCCCAAAGGAAGAGCCAGCCCAGTTCTCAGGACCCTCAACATCTGCTTCAGGAACATGGCTCTCACCAGCGTCATTAGCAGCCACCACACAAAGGATGTAAATACCCCCAGACTTCAGTCCCTTCAGCTCTGCTCTTCGAACTGTTGCATTGAAGGGGCCACTCCTTTGTGGAGCCCCGTTGCTTTCCCAAAACAGAAGCCAGTAGTGATTGACCGGAGAGAAGGGAGCACACCAGTGGACAACCGCACAGCCTTCCTCAGCGACAATTTGCACTTCTCCCAGCCGCGGAGGGTCTGGCTGCTGATCTTCCCTGGAGAGCCCTGGGCACATGCAGGCTACTGGCCCAACCTTCTGCAGCTCCTTGCAGGACACCTGCAGGTGGCGGCAACGGTCATAGTCGCAAGGGACAGCCAGAGAAGGTATGGTCACCGCCTCATCGTCCTCTTCCTCATAGTCTTGGGGGGTCAAGATCTGAGCTTTAGAAACCAAGGAGGTGGTCATGGCCACAAGCCACAGAAGGGAAAGAGAGCCCAGCATGGAGTCTGGAAGGGAAGGAGTGATTGGGTAAATGCTGTCAGCTGTGCCTTCCAGGACAAGACCTTTAGGAAAAGCATGAAAAGCACAACATAGGCCCAAGATGGGCAAAGGAAAGAGGTGGGACCAAGACACTCAGTTATTTGTCAACCGGCTTCTGAACACAGTTTTTTTTTGTTGTTGTTTTGTTTTGTTTTGTTTTGTTTTGGAGGCAGCTCCTGGTCCTCCTGTCTACACCTCCAAATCACTAGAATCAATAGTGTGTGTCACTAGGCCTGATTGTGCTTGGTTTGGGATAAAAATAATGAAATACAGTCCCACACATGAGAGACAGATGTTTGGACAGCACCATGCAATGCGCTAGAAGCAAGCAGCTAATGGATAACAAAGTGCTGGGGAAAGAGGAGGAGGAACCGGATTTCTTCAGCTCAGGGAAGAAAGGTGGAATGAATTGGCTGCCACCCAGAAAACTGACCTATGTAAAACAACGCTTAGTACGATGCACAAAAATCCAGAAGACAGGAGAGGGGAGAAAGAAAAGGAGTGGGGACAGCTTGGGAGTCCTCACTCCTCACCTGCGTTTGTGCAAATGCTGCCCAAGCAATCCAGGCTCCTCCCCCCTGTCCACCCTCTTCCCAGCCACAGCAGCCTCTCACCAGTGGGTAGGCCTTGACACGGTGAGAATCTGCCTCCAGACATCCGTGGGTATCAGGCGGAGAGGTCCCTGTCACAGGCCACTCTCAGGTTGTGTCTTCAATTCTATTTTGGCTGAGGACTTTTATACCCCTCAACTCTGATGTCACCACCTAGCCCCCGAGTGCCAAGAAGAGGGCTGGTTCCCTCAGAGGGACTGAGTCACGGGGCCAGGGATAGGGGAAGCCACACGCAGCGCTTTCAGCTGAAGGCCAGGATGCCTGGGTTCTGACAGGAATGAATTGTGGAAAGCAGCCAGGAACGGAGAATCCACAGGCTGCAGTCATGTGAAGGGATGGGAAGAGAATTATCAGAGGGAGGAGGGAGGGCACCTGGCTGGTATCAGACAGGAAAACATCTGTGGATGGTATGGGGCCTGAATTAGAAAATCCTGTTTTAGTGAAAATCCTACCACATTCATGGCAGTCATTTCCTGTCTTCTGCCTCCCAATAGACAGAGAAGGGAGGGGTGTAAAGGCCAGAATGATGTATCCTAGCTCTCCAGACCCGCCCTACCCTATCCCCCTCCCCTCAGGGAGATGAGAATCACATGGCTAGAGCAGGAAGCCTACATCTGGCCAGGATAGGGTTTCTTCCCTAGATTATGGGATGGAAACAGCTGCATTGAGTGTGGTGGTGCATGCCTGAATTCCTCAGCCTAGGGATGCTGAGGCAGAATCATTAGAAAACAGCCTGTGCTACATAGTGAGACCTTCTCTCAGAAAACAAACCAAAGTCATAAAACATCTGGATAGGTGGTACAAGCGTGTAATTCAGTGCTTTGGGATGATGCAGCAGGAGAGTTGCTAAAAGTTTGAGGCCAGTCTCGAAGAATCTGTTTATAAATATATAAAAGAAATATATAAAAAGGAAAGAAAAAAGGCTAGGTGGTGGTGGCAGTGGTGCACGCCTTTAATCCCAGCACTTGAGAGGCAGAGACAGACAGACTATGTGAGTTACAGGCCAGCCTGGTCTTCAGAGCTAGGCCCAGGACAGCCAAGGTTACACAGAGAAACCCTGTTTCAAAAAACAAAATAAAACAAAAATAAGCAAAGAGAGAGAGAGAGTAATTGTCTAGGTCGACCTTGAACCTCTGGGCTCAAACATTTCTGTCTCAGTTAAGTAACTGGAATATAGGTGTTCATCAATTCCTGACTTAGTACTTTGAGTATAATTGGGGACATTAGATCATAGACTAAATAAATCTCCTTGGAGTGTGTAATGCTCTTAGACTATCCTTTTAAAGAATAGCAATACAGAAGCTAGAGAGACGGCCCAGTGGTTAAGAGTACTGGCTGCTCTTCCCGAAAGACCTAGGTTCAGTTCCTAGCACTTACGTGGTGGCTGTGCTGGCTGGTCTTATGGAAACTGGACACACAAGCTGGAGTTATCTGAAAGGAGGGAGCCTCAACTGAGAAAATGTCCCATAAGGTCTAGCTGTAAGGCATTTCCTTCATTAGTGATTGATGGGGGAGGGCCCAGTCTGTTGTGAGGAGGCTCATTACCAGGCTAGTGGTCCTGGATTCTATAAGAAATCAGGCTGAACATGCTATGTGGAGCAGGCCAGTAAACAGCTCCCCTCCATGGCCTCTGCATCAGCTCCTGCCCTGACTTTCTTTGATAAATAGCAATATTGAAGTGTAAGCTAAATAAATCTTTTCCTCCCCAACTTGCTTTTTTTTTTTTTTTTTTTTTTTTGGTTTTTCGAGACAGGGTTTCTCTGTGTAGCTTTGCGCCTTTCCTGGGACTCACTTGGTAGCCCAGGCTGGCCTTGAACTCACAGAGATCCGCCTGCCTCTGCCTCCCGAGTGCTGGGATTAAAGGCGTGCGCCACCACCGCCCGGCCTCCAACTTGCTTTTTGGTCACGGTGTTTCATCACAGCAATAGAAACTCTAGGTAGTGGCTCACAGCCATGAAACTCCAGCCCCTGGGGGATTCAGTGTCCTCCTCTGGCCTCCAAGGGTATCTGAACTCACATGCACATATTCATGCAGATAATTAAAAATAAAATATGTAAAAAGGGAACAAACTGAGGGCTGAAGAGATGTCTTAGCAGTTAAGAGTGCTTGCTGCTCTTGCACAGACTGAAGTTCAGTTCCCAGCATTCATGGGAGGCTCACAGCTACCTGTAACTCCAGTGCTAGGGGATCTTACACCCTTTTCTGTCTCTGAGAGAATTAGCAACATACATGTCCATACACATAGAGAAGCACACATATACACATGTAAACAAATAATAAGGCTGGACAGTGGTGGCATATGTCCTTAATCCCAGCACTCAGGAGGCAGAGGCAGGTGAATCTCTGTGAGTTTGAGGGCAACCTGGTCTACAGAGTAAATTCTAGAACAGCTAGGGCTACACAGAGAGACCCTGCTTTGAAAAACCAAAAACAAATAAAAAATGGATGCCCAGGTCTGGAAAGATGGCTCAGTGGTTAAGAGAGCATCCTGCTCTTGCAGAAGACCTGGGTTTGGTTCCCAGTATGAACATAGTAGCTCACAACTGTCTGTATCTCCAGTAACTCCAGTTACAGGGAATCCGACATCCTCTCTGACCTCATGGGCCCTGCGCACATGTGGTGCACATATAGTTATGTAGGTTCATTTACATACATACACACCAATGAAACAAAATCTTCCATGACCCAAATTTGATTCCCCAGAACCCTTACGGTGGAAGGAGAGAAGTGACCCCTGGAATTTGTCCTCCGACCTTCACACAAGCGCCTGGCACAAAATAGTTTATTAAGGGAACAGCAAGGGGAGAAGGATCAGACGGGAAAGTGCTGGAATGTGAAGAATCTTTTTGTTCAGGAACTGGAGCATGTTGGACGCTGCCTGATGGTGCCCGCTGAAGGCTCACGGCTACCCAGAGTCTCAGGGGCAAGGGCAGAGGTAGAGGCGGAAGTAGGCAGGTTGGCCTCCGTCAGCAAAGCTGCATCTTCCCAGGAGCCTGAACCTGAGCCAGGAAGGGGCCAAACAAAACTGCAGATGAGACAGGCTACCAGGGATGGAGTAGCATCCCCACCACACTTCACTCCATTATACAGTGCCCCTCACCATCACTAGCCTCCGGCTCTTGCTCCTCCTCTCCATTCCGGGGCTGCTTCTGTGGTTTCTCTTCCTCAGACAGCTGGCCCTCTTCAGTCAAAAAGGGAACAGGGGTGTGACAGAGGTGAGACCCAGGCACTGAAGGGGAGTGCTTAGGAGGAGCCAGGAAGAGGAACTGACCGCATCATACCTGTTCCTGAGGGGTCTTCAGGGCTTTCACCTTCTTCTGTCATGTCTGACTGCAGGGTAGACTCCTCCTGGCCTTCAGGTCCGGCAAAGAGAGGACAGCTAGGCTCCGTGGACAGCTTGGCTTGCAGTGCCAACTGCACCTCCTTCAGCCTTTCCTCACACCCTCAGTTTCAGAGTAGGTATGCTCTCTACTAGAGGCAGGCAATCCCTCTAACCCAACTAATCTACCTCTCAATGATACTGTCAACCAACCCCTTTACCTGGCTGATGGCGAGAGATCCGACGCTGGGCACCCTGTCGTGAGCTATCCCTTTGTCGGATATTAACCTGTGGAGGAGTAACCACTGAGCAGGGGAGCCTGACTTCCCTCTGCAGTACTCATGCCCTATCGCCAACCCGACCCTGATCGCCAACACGGGTCACCAAGGAAGAAAAACAGGGTCTCGGCCCCTTGAGACCTGCAAGGAGAAGCGGTGCTGGGGCCAGATGCCCCCCCACGCCCACTGCATGTAGCTGAAGAGCACGATGACGCTGAGGAATGTGAAGTTGCTGGCGACCCCCACGAAGGCGCAGGTCATAGGGAAGTTGTACAGCAGGTACCTGAGGGAGGAAACAGGAACAAGGAAGGGGGCAGCAGTTACCAGACAGCACTAGCCTCTATCACTCCAGAAATAGTTGTGGGACAACTTGAGCGTGGCTTGAGTTGCCCTCTGCCACTATGGCACCCACTTCCTCAGCCCAATTACCAGACCACGCCACACCAGGTTCTAACAAAGGCCAAGGACTTCAGGCAGCCGCAGTATCACAGGGCCACAGCATTATGCTGGTTTCAACTGTGACCTCTTGTCACTCCAACTCTTGCTGAGCCAATGGAACAAGGCAGTGGGATTACACGGGGATTTTATCAGGGTGGGTGGATGGCGATGTATGTGGATCTCACTATGTTGCCCGAGTAGCAGGGACTAGACAGAGCACTGCACCAGCTCACGTGCTCCCTTTCTTGTCTTTTCATATTTATGTTGATAGTCTTGCTTTGTAGCTCAAGATTTCTTGCCTTAGGCCCCCCAGTGCTGTAATGATCGGGTGTGTCATCTCGTATGAGATTTTAAAAAAATGGGGCTGGAGAGTTGGCTCAGTGGTGAAGAGGACTTGTTGTTCTTGGAAAGGATTCAGGTTCAATTCCTAGCACCCACATGGAGGCTCCCACCTCCTTAGGCACAAGGCATGCATGTGGTACACATGCAGGCAAAACATTCATACACACAACATAATAAATTTAAAAAAAATTTTTTTTTTTCGAGACAGGGTTTCTCTGTGTAGCCTTGGCTGTCCCAACTCACTTTGTAGACCAGGCTGGCCTTGAACTCACAGAGATACACCTGCCTCTGCCTCCTGAGTGCTAGGATTAATGTATATGAGTGTTTGCCTGAATATATGTACATGCACCACATGGATGCCTGGTCTCCCTAGAGACCAGAAGAATACATCAGATCCCCTGGAATTGGAGTTACAGACAGTTGTGAGCTGCCATGTGGGTGCTGGTAATTGAACCGAGGCCCTCTGGAAGAGCAGTCAGTGCTCTTAATTGCTGAGCCATCTCTCCAACCCCTCACATGGGATTCTTAAGAAGCTCTTTTGAAATCCAATACACATAGTGAAACTAGGGAAGAGAGCCTCTGGCCTTTGTAAACTATGATGTGATGTTACTAGTCACTTCTGCCTGGAACTCTCCTCATTTTGGGGCAGGCCATAAGAAAGCTGCCAGGGTTTTCTTCTGTGGCTTCTTACCGGAGCCCAGTGAAGTGGGCGTGGATTCGGAGGTAAGCTCCATACATCTGGATGCGCTTGCTGTGGATCTCAATAATGGCTCCAGTTGTTGGCACATACTGCAAGGGAGGGGTGAGAGCAGAGTCGGGCTGGGCTCCTGCTGCTCTCACTCCTAGTAGCCCAGTCTGAGGTCCACTTCCAGCCTTTGTGGCTACTGTAGTTGCCTACCCATGGGCTCCTCAGGTGCAGTCTTGGGCTAACTGGAGGGGTGTCTCCTATTCCATCACCCCACTTACCGAATTCTCCCTGTAGTCCGAGTAGAGTTCTACCTCCAGGAGCTGCTTCTGTTCAGCAAAGCCAAACAGCAGGAGGCTGGAGAACACTAGCGTGTCAAGCATCTGGAGCAGGTGGGAGCGGTAATGCAGCATCACCTGACAGGGCCATAAGGGAAGGTTGGGGACAGGTGTTCTTTCCAGTCTGCCCCATGCTTGAGCAGTCCATGTATGCTGCTCATTCCAAGCCCCCTGTTCCTTCTTCTTCCCCTCCTGACTTTCAGTCCCCACCCAACCGCTCCATCTGTTTCAGAAACGTCTCCCTGCTACCCGACTTCACTTCTCCATTCTAATACGGCAGAGTGCCCGTCTCTAAAACCCCAGTCTCAGGTAAGCGGTCTGTTCTCATGGACCTTCCCCTGTAGTCTGTTTTCGGGCTTGGGACCCTGTCCCAGTGCACCTCCTGAAGCTTCCCTTGAACACAGATATTCATAATGTGGTTTTAAATGGGGTCCAGTGCTGAACATGTGTCCGACACGTGCTAATAAGAACCCTGCGTTTCTCCCTGGTGTGGTTAGGAGGAAACTACTATAAAACTCTAGCAATTAAGCCACTTGTTTCAAAGCTGGTATGTTTCTGGTGTCTGCTTATTCTGAGAGCAGTTGTACTCTTTAGACTACTCCAAAGATGGGCATGCCGATCAGATAGTAGGTGTTTGGCAAATGTTTGGCTTGTTAATCAGATTCTTCACTTATCCTGGTTTGGGCCTGATCCCAGAGTCAAGGAGGTCTTCTCTTGAAGTACTAGCCATATATACTGATTCTCCCATCATTGTCCACAACTTCCTAGGTTGTCCTTAAACACTTACTGAGCGTGAAGAAGTGGAGATGATTCGGCCACCTCTTGTATAGCATGAAACAGTGACTAAGAACATGCCCAAGTCTTGATTCACGGGGGATTCTGGCAGTTCAAGCTCTAAGGTGACTCGATATGGCTGTCCATACATCAGCACCTGCCCAATGTAACAACATACATCTTGTTTTAAAAAAATGTTGTGGTGTTTTGAGACAAGGTCTCACTATATAGCTCTGACTGGCCTGGAACTCACTCTGTAGCCCAGGCTGGCCTCCAATTCAGAGATTCACCTGCCTCTGCCTCACCAGTGGTGGGATTAAAGGTGTGCGCCACCATGCCTGCCTTGTTTTAATCATTCAAAAAAAAAAGTACATCCTGATTCAATGCTGCCCCTCCTGGTCACTGGGCAACCTGGCTTTCCAGAATTCTATCTTGTTTACTGGTTTCTTTTTATTGGGGGTGGGGGTTGTCAGGTAGGGAACCCTGTGTTTTAAGACAGTCATGTTCCGGGCAGTGGTGGCACACACCTTTAATCCCAGCACTTGGGAGGCAGAGGC